GGACCGATCGAGCAAAAAATTCTTGATGGTAATTATGATAAGAACAGATGATGTTAATTAATAAATAGGAACATTGATATTAAAACTATAAATATTGAGCAATATATTTTTTTAATATTAATATAAAATATAAACATATAATCATGTATAAAAGCATTCTAATTGTATAATTATTCTTATATTATATTATATTAATTTGATTTATTACCATCTTTCAAAAATTAAGAATAATAATAATATATATTTATAATTGATATACGAATAAGTATCGATTAACAAATAACAAAATTTGAAAAAAATTATTCATTTCTAAGGAACATATAACTCATGACTATTTTTTAAGGAACATTAAAATATCTTTTTCTTTTTCTTTTTCTTTTTAGCCAATCCCGTGTTAGAAGCTTTTGGAAACGCAAAAACGAAAAGAAACAATAATAGTTCTCGATTTGGTAAATTCATGGAAGTGCATTTCGATGCGAAATGCCAAGTAGTTGGTGGTTATATATCCCATTATTTGTTAGAAAAATCAAGAGTATGTTTGCAAAGTCCGGATGAGAGAAATTATCACGTTTTCTATATGATGTGTGCCGGTGCTCCGCCCGAGTTACGTTCGAAATTAGGTATTACCAAGCCGGATGATTTTCATTATCTGAAGAATGGTTCCACGCAATACTTTTGTAGTCCAGAGTCTGAGAAGAAATTAAACGATGCACAAAAAAGTTCTGAACAAATGAAAAAAGGAAGTCTTTCCGATCCATACTTGGATGACGTTGAAGGATTCAATGCAATAGATCAGGTAATCAGTCATAAAATTATCTTATTTAATTTAACAATTATCCTTATTGTCGACTATAATTGTTTGATTCTTAAAATGGTGAAAATGGTAGAATATGTATACAGAGAAATTGTGAATTATTTTCACTGTTCTATTTTCAATAATTACAATATATTAAATATTGGAAATTGTATCTTAATATTATTTCTGCAATTTTTTTTTCAATTTATCGCCAATAAAAAAAAAAAAAAGAAAAAAAAAGACTATGATACATAATTTTAAGCGTTGATATTTTTTTTTCATAAATATCGAATTATTTTTTGATTACTATCTCTTCCCTTTTTGTATTGCCAACACCGATGTTTCGTTATTCTAGGAAAGAGCAACGGTAAATTGAATATTTTTCTTTTCATTCATTGTATATTATTATCTATCAGCAAATTTTTCTTTTAACTTTATCGCTTACATCTTTCAGCTTTAAAAACAACTCGCATTTTATTCTTTTGTCATTGATTAGATATGTATTAAAACAGAAAGTAAAATACTGCTTGGATAAATGAAAGTTAATATTTCTTTCCTCATAAATTTTTCAAAGCCAACATACCAAGAATTTAATGTTGATACTTATATATATATATATATATATATATATATATATATATATATATATATATATATATATATAATCTTCTTCAGAAATAATTGTTTTTGAAATTATAGTAAAAGCTAGTAAACAACAAAATTAATATTACTCAAAAGCGAAGCAATATTTCGTCTCGGTACACGTATGAATTTCTTTAAAAATCTTTGTTTTAAAAATTTATTATTAATTTAGGCATTAACTCGTCTTGGATTGACGGATGCCGAACGAATGGAAATTTATACGATGGTAGCGGCAGTACTCCATCTTGGTAACATTACTTTCGAAGATAATCCTGAAGATACAAAAGGTGGTTCAAGAATAAGCCCAAATTCTGAGAAGGCTGTTCTTATGAGTGCTAAATTATTAGGAGTTGATCCTGAAGAACTTAGACAAGCATTGGTATCAAAGGTCATGCAAACTAGTCGAGGTGGTATCAAAGGAACTGTTATTATGTGAGTTAATTGTAATGTTACTATAAATACGAATACAATAATTACAGAATAATTAAATATATCTATTTTAAACGTTTAAGGGTGCCTTTGAAAGTTTATGAAGCTAATAACGCTAGAGATGCTTTAGCAAAAGCAATTTATAGCAAATTATTCGATCATATTGTTGCTAGAATCAACAAAAGTATTCCTTTCAAGGCGTCAAGTTATTACATTGGTGTTTTGGATATCGCAGGATTTGGTAATACATATATAGACGCATATACTTCTGTAACTTGAAAAAAAAAAAAAAAGAAAAAAAACTTTATCTTTAATCGCACTGTTCTTTTTTTTTTCAACAGAGTATTTTAAAGTTAATAGTTTCGAACAGTTCTGTATTAATTACTGTAACGAGAAGTTGCAACAATTTTTCAACGAACGCATTTTGAAGTATGAACAAGATCTTTATGCTAGAGAATCTTTGAACGTTCCTAAAATTTCCTATGTAGACAACCAAGATTGTATAGGTAAATTCTGATTGATTTTCTAATTTTTTGATATAATTTATAAATTTTTCATTAAAAAAAAAAATATATATATAATTTGTTATTGGGTGTATCTTTTAATATTTGGTAGATCTCATTGAATCCAAAAGCAATGGTATCTTTAGAATGTTAGACGAAGAATCTAAGTTACCTACTCATAGCTTTGCACATTTTACAAGCGAAGTACATCGTGCTTGGAACGGACATTTCCGTATCACTTTACCACGAAGTTCTCGTTTAAAGGCGCACAGAGAATTAAGAGATGACGAAGGATTTGTAATCCGTCATTATGCTGGTGGTGTTTGTTATCAAACGGTAAATTATTACATAAATTTTTTATATCTTTGATTGTCCAAGTTAAATAATATACCTAATAAATGATTGTCTAAATAAAAAATATATTTATATGTTAAATTGTTTCTAAAAAAAAAAAAAAATTAATTACCATTAAAAGTTTTTATACTCATTTTAATTTAAAAAATTTAATTTTAATGTAAATCAATTATCTCAACGATTTTATATTTGCAGAATCAATTTATCGAGAAAAACAATGATGCATTACATGCCTCCTTGGAAGCATTGATACAAGAAAGCAATAATAATTTTCTTAGAACGCAATTTGCCAATAATTCTTCCCAAAAAGGAAAATTAACGTTCATTAGCGTCGGTAGTAAATTTAAAACGCAATTGGGTGAACTCATGGGTAAATTAAAGAGTAACGTAAGATTTATGTATATTTTATTACGATAATTAAACCTGTATTATTTCTATCATTTTTTGCTTCATTAATTGTAATCATTATTGCAGGGCACAAATTTTATTCGATGCATAAAACCTAATAATGACATGGTTGCACATCAATTTGACGGGAACAGCATTTTAGGTCAATTGCGTTGTTCGGGAATGACGTCTGTATTAGAATTGATGGAACACGGTTATCCCAGTAGAGTTACCTTTCAAGAATTATACAATATGTATAAATCTTATTTACCTCCAGAATTGGCAAAATTAGATCCAAGATTTTTTTGCGAAGCTTTACTTCATAGTTTGAAATTGAACAAAAAAGATTTCAAATTCGGTATAACACGGGTTTTCTTTAAACCTGGCAAATTTGCTGAATTTGATAAAATCATGAAATCAGATCCAGAGAATTTGCAAAAATTAGTTGCTAACGTGAAGAAATGGTTACTTAGATCAAGATGGAACAAAATGCAATTCTGTGCTTTATCGGTAATTAAATTAAAGAACAAGATTATATATCGTAGATATCATTTGATAATTCTTCAAAAAACAGCGAGAATGTTCATAGCGAAGAAACAACATCGTCCGCGAATAAAAGGTTTAGTTAAGATAAAGAACCTTCAATCGCAATTAATAAAAATCCAGGATATATCGAATCAATTAAAGAATCGTGATAAATACATTGCCGATATCAATCAATTGCAATTGGACTTAGAAAGTTCTATTCGCCGTATTAAAGAGGATTCTAAAATAAAAGCAGCGGAAATAGATACGATTTACACGAATTTGGTAAATCAGATGAATAAGCAAATGGCATCCTTGCAAGATACGGTGAAGCAAGAGAAAATAGCGGAGGAACAAGCACGATTGAAAAAAATACAACAAGAATTAGAACTTGAGAAGAACAAGAAGGAGGAGGAAGAACGTAAAAAGAAGGAGGACGAAGATAATCGTAAGAAAAAATTGGGAATGGAAGTTAGAAGAAAAGCTGAAGAGCAACAGAGGAAGATGCAAGAATTTGAAGATCGAAAAGCTGTTGCAGACATTCAGGTAAGTTTATAAGCATATTAATTCAATAATTATTACAAACATAAATTCAAGTTAATTCAAAGCCAATGTTTAAAATCAATAACATAGGCGCAATTAGAAAAGGAAGCTATCGAGAAATGTCGCTATCGTGAATTATTGGAACAAGAAAGACGTGATCATGAATTGGCTGTACGATTAGCTCAAGAATCGAATGGACAAGTGGAAGATTCACCACCACCTGTTCGAAAGTATGTTTTGAAAGTTTTCTTTATTATTATTATTATTACTATTATTATTATTATTATTGTTATTATTATTATTATTTTCGCGATTCTGAGATTATCGCGATTTAATCATCAATTGCCTATTGAATAGCCTATGAATGATCTATAGAGACTGTAATATTTGTAAATATATTACTTAACTAGGGAATTCTTTTTTATTTTTTTTTTTTTTTTTAACTTTATCAAAAGACAAAGTAAGATATTATTTTCTTGCAAATGTATAGTGGTTCGGATGTACGAGTACCATCAACGAACAACAACAGGCTTATAAGGTATCAAATCTTTTGTCGTGGTAATGCACGAACTAACGGCTAACTGAGTGATTTATATATATATATATATATATATATATATATATATATATATATATATATATATATACAATGCACTTATTTCATTAAAAACTTTCTAACTGTTAACAAATAAAACACTAATTTTGTTTCTACATAATACAAATATGCATGATCTGTATACACATATGAAATGATTCAAAGGGATACTTTTGGTTCTAACAAATTTTAATAATAACTGTAGATTACATATAAAATAGAAATTATAAGAAAAAAAATATATATATATAATATTAATTTAATTTATACAAAATAAAAAAATTACTAACACCTTATGAATCATTAATATAAATTGCATGATTAATTTCACATGTAAAATTTCTATTAGCTTTACAGCGAGTCCTCATAGCAACGCTTTTGTAGAACCCTTATCTTTTTAATCATTCACTTAATATATAAAATATAAAAATTAATAGGTTTTTCTTCGATATTAGATCGGAACAAGTTCGCAATCATCAAGCAGCTATGATCAATAAAAAATATGACTTATCAAAATGGAAGTACTCTGAATTGCGTGATGCTATTAATACTTCTTGCGATATTGAATTATTGGAGGTATGAGTTGTTTATCGTAATATTTTCTTATTTTCCTTTTATAAAAGATCAAGAAAATAAAACATCATTGTAAAAGTTTAGAGATTTTATATTTAAAAAGATTATATCTTGAAAATTTTATATCTTAAAAATGAAAAACTTTTCTTGATCTCATAATTTTTTTTTTTCTATCCTTATCTATCTATTGTTATTACAATTTATTATCTTAATGAAAATATAAATAGATTAATATAGACTTAAATATAGGCTTGTCGTCACGAGTTCCATCGTAGATTGAAGGTATATCATGCCTGGAAAGCAAGAAACCGTAGGAAAACTATTATGGATGAAAATGAAAGGGCCCCAAAATCCATCATGGAAGCTGGTAAAATATAATTCATATTTTGATATTTTATCGAAATATTTTATATCGAATAATTATAATTATAGATTGAATAATTTCAGCTGCTAGAACTCCACGAACGTCATTGAAGCAAACGATAGTTGATTCTTCACAAAGATATTTTCGAATTCCATTCGTTCGTCCCCCTGCTTCGAATCAACAAGATAATTCGCATACTGGTAAGAGAGGTTGGTGGTATGCCCATTTTGATGGTCAGTATGTAGCAAGACAAATGGAACTTCATCCGGACAAACCACCAATACTTCTTTTGGCCGGTGAGATTCTAAGATATTCTAAAATCTTTTTTTTTTTTTTTTTTTTTTTTTTTTTTTTTTTTTTTTTTTTTTTTAAGAAATTCATCAGGATTTGAAATTTTTAAGAATATATAATGTATGTAAAGAAAGAAAAATAACAAAGAATTAATTTTATCTACAGGAGTCGACGATATGCAAATGTGCGAGTTGAGTCTTGAGGAAACTGGTTTAACGCGCAAACGCGGTGCAGAAATTTTAGAGCATGAATTCAATCGTGAATGGGAACGCCATGGGGGCAAACCTTATATTTCAGCATGCGATCGTAAAAAATAAAGCGAAATTGTTGCTAAATTGCACATGTTTCGAGTTCATCGAGATATTTTGTCAATATGCGTTATGTTAAGAAAAGAAACACAAAACAAACAAATAATAAAAATATAAAGGCAGTAATTATATTACATAATGTAATATATAAAAAATCATGCCTGAAATGTAATTAATGAGATGAGATTAATTATTAATTATTAAAAAAAAAAAAAAAGAAAGAAAGAAACGATATGTTCGACATCAATAATAACATATTAACAGTAATGGATATTCGAAAAAAAAAAATAAACGATTAAATCAGATTGTTTTTCTTTTCTTTTCTTTTCTTTTTTTTATTTTGTCGGAAAAGACAATTTTGATTAAATTGTTTAATAAAGCTTTTTCAGTATTTGGTATTTAGCATAGCGCATTATTACGAGAAACAAAAAAGAATTAACTGCACTAATCGTAATTTACTTTTATTATATATAGACTATACATATATATATATATACACACATATGTATACATATATATATATATATACATATATATATATATATACATATATATATATATACATATATATATATATAATATATACATATATATATATATTAACAGGTTGGATAAGGTGGTATCCAACCACCAAATGATCGTTCTAATTCTTTAGCTACTGCTAAGCATAAACGATCTTGATAAGGAGCAGCAATGACCTATAATAAAATATTTATAGATTTAAATGAAATAAATGAAATACAATAAAGTTTGTGAGAATAAAACAAAAAAAATAGATTAAAAAAATAAGAAGTTCCATTATTACCTGTAAACCAATGGGTAAACCATCCACTGTGATACCCATGGGAACATTAGTCGCTGGAAAACCGAATAAATTCCATATATTGCAATATATCGTACCCAATGGATTGAAAATTATTACATTGCCTATCGGTGCTGTTATTGGATATGTGGGAAAAATGAATACACTGTTGTTACTTAACAAATCCTATGATATAAAACATTGCAATTAATATTTTTCTTTTAATTGGATATAAAATGTAATTTTCATTGTATAATAATTTGTTATTTAAAAAATATAATCATAATTATCAATGATAATAATTTACTATATATAAATATGATACATGCTGATAAATATAAAGTGTTGACATATTTGTTCTTTTAGAATCATTGCGATAATTTCTCATTAAAAAAAATATAATTATAATTGTTAATAATAATAATAAAAACTTACTATAAAATTTTGACGTTGATTTTGAATGTTACATTCTTGTTGATTCGAGTAGTTCAGGATTTTATTCATATATATTAAAATCTTTAGAAAGATCGCTCCGAACGTATATTGTGAAATACCTAATAGTGACTTTGGCAATTCATATAACAATTGTTTTTCATGCTGTATTCAAAATTAAAGAGATATAAATATAAATAAATATATGTATGTTGCTATTAAAAGTTTATTTAAAGATATAAACAAAGAAACAATAAAATTACCTTGGAATCATTTGGATCCAATAAAATTGGGATTTCGCTTAAAGTCAATATAGTAATTAAGATCTCTTCGATATAGTGAATTAAAGTACCTGGATACTATGGATATGAAAAAAAAATTCACATTTATATTAATATTTAACGGACAATTTGTTTTACGAATTAACAAAAAAATAGTGTAATAAAAATTAATATAATAATAATAATAATAATAATAATAATAATAATAATAATAATAATAATAATAATAATAATAATAATAATAACAATAACAATAACAATAACAGTAACAATAACAACAACAACAACAATAACAACAACAACAACAACAACAACAACAACAATAATAATAATAATAATAATAATAATAATAATAATAATAATAATAATAATAATAATTAAAAATTGTTAATGATTTGTTCCGATGGATATATCTATGTATTATACGATTTCTTTTTCTTTTTATGTAAGATTAGAAATTTTCAATGAGAAGAAGCGTTTCATCCAACGAAATGGAAAAGAGTTTGTATTAAAAGAGATAAGCTCGAAGAAGATAGTAAAAATGATGAAGAGAAAGTGAGATTTCACTTGTTAGACTTCACTTATTACGTTCTAACTAAAAAGTTATTATGGGATGTATGAAAGTATGTGACTTATCAGCCATTAATTTTTATTTTCACTTTGACTCGATGAAAATCTAAAAAAATGGGTCATTCAATCGATAAAATGTCGGATATTCTATTACGGAAAAATAATAAGATTCAGATTTAATTTTTTAGATAAAATTTTCATATTGTAAAACATTAAATCTAAAATATTCGAATAGATAATATGTATTGATAATGCAACGATAAATTTATTAAGTTTCTTCGAGACAATAGGCCAAAAAATAAATTGTATAATGAATTTTTTGTAAAAAGTTTTATCTACATATATACGTACATATTTATGTAAAGAAGATTGAGAGTTTATAATTTTTGTTCTTCGTAATAATGAACAAAAAGAAACAAAAAGAAACAAAAAAATTAAATTAATCATCCTACATAAAGAGAAACACTTATTAATGAGATATCTGACATTTAGATGAATTAAAAGTATCTAGATCATATTACAAATTAAAATTACTTTTTTTTCGAGATTTTTTACGTTTATCTTTTCTTTTCCTGTCGAATTGTAAAACTATAAACTTAAGGACATTTTTTGCTATAATCTGCAAAAAAGAAATTTTAGATTAAAAAATCTCGAGAAAGGAGTAATATTTATTTTTTAATATCACATAGAAAATTTGTAACCTGTCCTTTACTATTTCATTAACAATAGATTAATTATTATATATTTATTATTAATTTTCTTACTTCTTCAATCTCAGAGCCACAATATTTCAAATGCTTAACTGCCTCCTTAATACAAGTTCGTATTTCCTTTTGAGTTGGAACTAAAATCATGGAAGATCCAAAATCCTCCAAATAAAAAACTTTTAATTTTTTTAAATCAACCGGATCATCCAAATATAAATCTCGATTGTATGTAGCAGTCAATATTTTCATAACCAAGTGTAAATCTTCTACATATCTTGTCATAGGTCCAATTAGTAGACATTCTTTAAATTTGATATTGTCTTCGTACGGAAAATGTCCTTTTATCGAGACAATTCCTAGAATTATAATTAATATATATAAAAAAATAAAAAAAATAAAAAAAATAAAAATACATGAATGATGCATATTTCAATAACATTATTTATTAGTAGGATTACATTAGAAAAAAAAAAAAGTAGATTTACCTGCTGTTGGCTTATGTCCGAAGATACCATTAAATAGGGCTGGTATTCTTATCGATCCTGATATATCAGAACCGAGTCCTATCAAAGAACATCCTGAACCTATGAGTGCTCCCTTTTAAACAAATTAAACGTTTTATATATATATATATATATATATATATAGAGAGAGAGAGAGAGAGAGAGAGAGAGAGAGAGAGGGAGAGAGAGAAAAACAGAGAAAGAGAGATAGAGAAATAGTATACAGAAGATTATAGATATAATAAGACCTAATATATTAATTATAAATCTCTTATTGCTTTTATAATGTTTTTTTTTATCTAATAAAATTTAATAATATGATTTTTATTTACTACTTCTTTTTATAAATTAAATTTCCATTCTAAATAATATAACACAATATATCAAATTATAAATAAATTATACTTCCTTCAGTAATCGATCATATTAATGCTATTAGAGAAATCAAAATGAATAACAAATGAAAATGATAAAATTAAAAATATGTAATTATCGTTAATAACTATTATTCTTACCTCTCCGCCCGACGAACCACCAGCTGTATATCTTATATCGTATGGGTTACATGTCCTTCCAAACAAATGATTGTAAGAATCGAATCCCGTACATAATTCTGGAGTATTTGTAACGCATAGAGGTATAGCACCTGCATTTCTCAATATTTCTACCGCTTCTCCATTTTCCAATGCTTTTATTCCTTTTCGACCATAAGAACCTCCTGTATAACTCAATCCTAAAAAAAAAAAACATATATTTTTATATAATATACTTTTCACATGATATACTTTTAATCGTAAATTTATTTTGTTGTTCGTTTTTTCTTTCTTTTTTTTTTTCTTTCCTTTTAATTACAGGATGAATCATACAACGTGATTACCATTAATTATATCGTCATATTTAAAGGATCTTAAATTAAATAAATGATAGATTTTATAGAAAATTTGGTGCTATTAGTTTTATAAAATTATTTTATCTTTTTATATAAATTATTCAAAATTCGTGCGTTTAATGAATTTCGACGCTTACAAATTAAAAAGTAATAATAACAAATTAGCAGAAAAAAACCCGTGGAATCTAGGTGGAATCTTAAAAAGCTTTCAACTGAGCAATTTTCAATCAGTCAATTATTTTTGCATAATTTATAATATAAATAATTCAAATATTCAAATAAAATATATGCTTGTCATACCTTTGAGCATACATGATTCTTTAACCGTGAACGGTATGCCATATAATGGTTTTTGCTTTTTGAGTTCGGGAATAGTAATTTCATTATTTCTGATATTTTTATCACAAATCTTTGCCTCTTCCAAGGCTTCTTGGAATCTATCCTCAATCACGGCATTTAAAATAGGATTTACTTGTTTTATACGTTGGATATATGCTTCTACTAATTCTTGACTTGTAATCTTAAAAAAAAAAGAAAACAAGATTTATCCATGTGAAAATGAATATAAATTATTATATAGATTAATAATATAGATTATTTATTTTTATTTATATATACAATTTTTATATATATAATGTTTTGAAAAAAGATATTTTTAATAACTTGCATATAAATTAAATTTAGTTATTAAATATATTTATTATAACCAAATGTAAAACAAATATATTATTTTTAACATACTTACTTCTCTTAATCTGATCTTTTCAGCAAGTAGAGTCGCTGACATTTTAAATAAATTATTATTGGGAGGAGGAATTCGTTGCGGTTTTTCATGATTTAACTTTTTTCTAATAAAATATAACATATTGAAAAAAAACTTTAGAAGCGTAGCCAGTATAAAAAGTATCAAATTCATCTTGGGACTTCTGAAAGAAAAACAAAAAGAAATAAAATATTGTAACAAGTAACGTAATAATTGTGTCAACGAAGCAAAAAAAGAAAGAAAAAGATTTTAAAAATCGATTCTTTTCCTGTTATTTTCCTATTTTTCCCCTTATATATTAATGTTTGATTATCGTTTGATAATATCGATCATCGTCTAAATCATATCGTGAATAATTTATCTTATATAAAATAATAAAAAAACAAATAATATCATAAAATAATTAAAAAAGTTTGTAAATGATATATGTAATTTGATATGACATTTGTGATGCATTAACGTAAGCACTGCACTGTTTGTTTATATATTATATATTTTCTTTTTTTTTTTCTTATAATCATATCATATACATTAATGAGAGATAAAAAAAAAGGGAAATGTTATTTAACAGATTTTCAATATAATCAATAACAATTATATAAATAAATAAATTATTTCACGTAAAAAAAAAAAGTACTCCCATTAAAATTCTCTTAAGCGAAATTTCGTCGAATGTCTTGTGAAATTTTATTCATTACACGTCTATACAGATAGATGGGCCATCTATATAGTAAAAAAAATAGAATAACAATTCATATTAAAATCTATTTTTTATTGTCGCACTTATTGATTCAATATAAAATAATACAATGACCCAATATCTAAACGAATATTAACTATGTTTATCAATGTATATCTTTGGCACATTCTAAATTATCTTAATATTCCCCTTTCTCCTTTCTCTTTCTTTCAAGTATCGAATTATTTCACACGTAATTATAAAAAAAAAAGAAAAGGTAATACATAACATCGTAACTTAGAAAAGTAGTTTTTACTGTAATAACACAAATTCAAAATAATGTCAAAGTTCATCAAATTATAAAATAAAAAACTGCTTATATTGTATGGACATCTTCCTTATTTAGTATCCGATCTTTACATTAGAAGAAAAGAAAATCGTTAGAAGCAACATACCATTTAAATAGATCTAACGAAGAAATATATAGAATAAATTAATTAGAATAAAAAAACATCTCAATAAATTCAAAGAAATAATATGTCATAATGGATTTTAAAATGAATTCTCATAAATGAGAGGAAGATCATAAAAGGAAAAGCAAAAGCAAATGAATAAATTTTAATAATTATAAAAAGAATTGTCTTGTCATTTCATACGTTTAATGTTATATAACTATAATTTAACTTGTCATTCAATATAAATACCAGATATTTTGCAAATATAACGCGTAATATATAACACATTATATATCACGCGCATACAAATAAATATAGAAAAACAGAATAAATTATTTTTGTTCATAAATTATCGATCCAATCTTAGCCGAAAAATATAAATTTTTTCTTTCAACTTTTTTTGTTCGATAATTCATTTTTTTTCAGTTTTTCAGATTTATTAACAAAAAATTATTTTATAACATTTGTTTTCTCGATATTAAATGAGATATGTAAATATTAATTGTTCGAAAAAAAAAATAGTAAAACTATAAGTAATGTAATATTCAATACTGATAATACTTATTATATACATTTTTATAAAATCTAATAAATCGTCATACAATTAAATTGATCTTTATATTCCAAATTATTATATGATCTATTTCTTTAAGAGTAAAGATATTTTATTTGATTTTTTTGTTTGTCGTATAAACCTACTGATCATTTTAAATACCAATTATTAAATATTATTTTATTTATATTGTGTATTTAAAAAAAAAAAAAAGTAGCAATAAAAAAATAAAAGAGAAATAAACAAAAAACAAGAAAAGAATGACGTGAATGTATATTAGGTGGACCGGAAAGTAATGTCGCTTTCTTAAATTAAATTCAAACGAATAAATTTTTAACAAGTTTTTATTTTTAATCACAATCAAATATCGACATGATGCAGAAACAACATTACTTTCCGATCCACCTAATATATACACGTTATAAGTAAAAATATATTTATAAATATTTTTTCAAAATATTATTTAAATAATTGATAAATCTTACATGTATTTTGGCATGTACTTACTTAATTTTGGTGCTTATCTAAATTTTTATTTTAATTCTTCTTAAACCACTTATTTTTTGTTTTCAATTTTAAAACACACTATAACAATTATTAATATGAAACGTTTCAACGTTTTTTTTTTTTTTTTTTTAACAAAATTGGAAAATATTCAAATTCGACAGGATATATGTTTAACGGGGAAAAAATCTAAAAAATCAGACAAAAAAAAGAAAAACAAACAAAAAATAGAGCTTTTAAGTTTTAAGTACTTTTATACAACACTGGAAGCATTTACTTTGTATGTATATATGATCGTACGATGCTCCAAGTAGAATGTGTTTGAAAATAACTTGAACTACGTATTGCTAAGTAAAAACATCTACACTCCACTGCCACTCTTCTATAATATAATATATACCATATCATGATTATATAATACTTTATCAAGGAGAGCATAACTTATCATATGTAAAGAACTTATTTAGCAATATGCTTACATCATTATTTTTCTTTATGAATTATTTAAACTGTAATCAAATAATTTCATGTTATCGATCAAATTTAAACTATTTACTAATATACCTTTTTAAACGTTAAAGGCACAAGAAAGAAATATTTATAATTTACATATATAACATTGAATAAATTAAAGTCGAAACCAAAGTTTCAAAGTTTTAATAAAACAATATATATATTTGATTGAAACTCTTCAATGATTAAATACAGATATGTATTTAATCGATGATACAATTTGGAGACTCGTTGTTAAAAAATAATTACGAATGCTTTTATTAATTTTTAGTTTTTAACCTTAAATTAACCCTTTCGCTCCGAAGCATTTGCGCCACAATGTGATCGTTGTGGACGAACTGCATTACTGAGTAATTGACACTGAAGTACGGAATACTACGAAGTAATTAAAAGTCGTTTCTTGTTCTCTAAATTTTACAATGACATTTATTATATTCAGTAATATCATCTTACTTTCTAAAATATAAAAATGTATAATCAAAATATATTTTTTTTAAATATTTTATTATAATGTTCATGTAATATTTTTAATACAACGAAATTACTAAAGTATTTAAAGCCGAACATAAATCGTGTTTGCTTTTGATAATGGGTCTAAAAAATTAAATATTTTAAAACTCAACATATTATCACAAAGGCAGAAATTGAATATTTACTTGTATATATTCGTCGCTGGCAATGTTCTAAAGAAGACTGAAACTGTGTATCGTTAAAACGAAACACAATATCGTCTTGTCGTTAGTGTTTTATTTCATGATAGTTAATTGCTTTTATGGCATGCAGCGTTGAGAGATACTTAATTAACAGTATCTCACGTAAAGTATGAAATCAAAGTATATGGTATATGGAAATATGGTATGAACGTATATATACGCTCTGTGTACCCGAGCGCCTATTTTTTCAGAATGTCTATTTACGCTCTTCGTACATAAATGGTCATTCTTCGAAGGCGTATATATATACCCGTCGGAGCAAAAAGGTTAATATCTTAATTCATTAATGGCTATGCACGCGATCACATTAAATGCTATTACATAAAATTATCTATTCCAACAACGTCTATATCTCAACAATTTTTTAATAAAATGAGTTATACATTTATAATTAGAAATTTTACTTAGACTAATATAATGACGTCACTTTGTTATTAATATCACCATATAAATTTAATGAATCAAACTCGTGTTTGTTTCATATAGCTATATAATTACAATCTATAAATACCTCACGATGTTATAATTCATAACAAATACTATAAGAAATTTTTTATTTTAATAATATTTATTTTAATAATTATATTCGTAATAATATTTTATTTTATGTGTATATATTTACATATATGTTCGAATATATATTCGATAATGAATTATATGAATTATAGATGTATTTTATTATATATACAAAAAATACAATTTACTCAATATATTATGTAAATATCAATAGCAGATTTAAAATGTTTTCTTAGAATATTTTAAATATTTGTAAGTATAAAGTATTATTTCTGTTGAAATTTGTTGGATAAATAATGTATGTATATAAAATTAGATTTATAAAATTAGAATCATAAAAATTATTCTTTTCATTTAATTTAAAGATTAAACTATGCAAATCTATGCATTTCTTACATACATTATTCAGACAAGTTAATCTTTTGATTATTTAAAATATTCGATTTTTACAACTAGATACAATTGTATATATTGAAGTTTCCTTGGAAACATAGCACTCGATTGTTTGTCATCTCAAATATTTTCATTTAATTGTGTTAATATAATTAATTTGTTCTCAATTGATAATCACCATTTTGTGTAATGTAACGAACCCATGGTAATGCTTGGTAACCACTCTTCTCAATAATTTTCAAATATCGCACTTGAATCCCAGAAGTAGTGAAATAAGGAATTTCAAATTTTACTTGAATCGGTGGTTTGCCTTCTATATCTTCTCCAACAACAGACGGTAAACCAAAATGTGCTCTCATTAAATATTCCTTTCCACCTGGGAAGGATTTGATGAACCAAGTAATTGCACTTTGTTCAGGAGAATATTTGACACTGCCAATGGTTGTTTTAAATTTAGGAGAGTCTGCATCATTTGGCACAGGTATTACTATTTCCACATTGTTAGCTGTCGATCGACGTTTGAACTGTGATCTAGCTTTTATCATGTATTCTACTCTACTATGTGCATGTCTCTCTATAACCGATTCAATCCATATCAATGGTTTGACATGAGTATTCAATCTATAAGACATTAATTCAAATTCTCCATCAGGTGGTATGAAAGAAATTGTTCGATCGTTCTCAAATCTTGAAAGTCTGACGCATTGATGAAATTTGACATCTTCCAACTCTACTGATTTGGATTTACCTCGTCCAGTCGATTCAAACAATACTTTATCATTTAGACCAAGTCTCAATTCTGGCATCCCAGATAGATATACTCTCATTTTTATAGCACCAACGATCTCAGAACTCAATACATTTCCATTGGCATTTGCCAAAAGATTAACAGATTCTATTACATCCAAAAAGACTTCATTCTTGCGATATTTAATACCTTCTGATCTCCAAGATACAGCATTAGTCACAGCCATTGGAATTCTAGGTTGTATTTCTAATTTATGACCTTCTTGTGTAATATATTCTTGTAAAATTTTGCTATCCGTTGTTTGAGGATAACCAAAATCCAATAATTCATCCAGAAGCTCATATATTACAACAAAATTATCCCTTATACTCTCTTCTTCTAATTCTTTAAAATATTCTTGCATTACTTGTACCACTTTATGCAAAAATACAAAAACCAAAGAAATATTGGCATTTTTCCTTGTTGTAGAAACGATATAAAGATTATTATATTTTATATAAGCATATGTGCACTCTAATGTCTGGATAATAGGTGTAAGATTACCTTCTTCTTCTCGTTCCATCACTAAAGGCATAAACTTTTCTATTACTCCTGTTTCTATATCTCCACGATAATTACGAGAGATCAACACCTTGCCCTTCATATCCAATATGTATATAGCTGATGTAGACATCTTAAAATGATGTGAAACTTAAAAAAGAAAATGTATTCTTTCAGGCATTCATATCATTATAAATAAGACATATTTAGATTACATACAAGTATAACGTACAATGTGTGTACTTACAACACAATAGATTACATAAAAAAAAAAAATAATATAAAAAAAAAGAAAACAGTATATTCTAAAATAGAAAAATGTTAATAAATGGAAACGATAGGACGTACATATTTTCAAAATTTCAAATAAAAAAATATTTACCAATTGCAAAAAGATATATATACATATATATATAAAAGATCTCTAACGTCTTATTTGACATTAAAGACTATATTCAAAATTAAATTTAGAAACATTATTCACTCACACTTCGATCCTTTATTAATTAAAATCTTCGGAATCGTTTATATCGAAAAAAAAAAAAAAATAATTTCTATATATTGTGAATTAAAGGAAGAAGTTTTGCAACAGCAGATCTTAGCAGATCTTAGATATACTTACTAAATATATGTCGGAATATTAGCGTGGACATAATCGATATGTTGCAACAAAAATTCGATATCTCTAAATAACTTCGAGATATCGATAACTCGACTTCTGTGATGTATTTGAAAAAATGACTCCTTTTAATTCATATGGCCACTTTGTTTCTTTTATTAGATTATTATTATATATTATACATATTATATATATATATATATATATATATATATATATATATATATACATAAGTGATATGTACATAACTAATTAATGTATATAAACTGGTTATTATAAAAAATAACATGTATTTTGAATTTTTTTCACACGATTAAAATAGATTTAAAAATTTTATACTCTATCAACTATATAAAATTATTCTATCCAACTTACAGTACAAATAAATCTTTTTTTCGACTTTTTTTTACTTTTATCTTCTTCTATATGAGGAAAACATTAAGGTTAAATATTTTAATATACAAAATTTACTTGTATAATATTGTAAATATTAATTTGTACAATATATCATAAAAATATGATTCTCTAAATATCAAATCAATTATCTAAACTTTATTAAAAAAACAAACCAATTAATTGATTAATATAAAATAAAAATCTATGTTAAGTAACTGTATTAATATTACTAGGTGGTACTTGCCAACCACCGAATTGTTTTTCTATTTCCTTAGCCAATGCGATTGTTAAATGATCGCAAGAATCATTTGCGATTATCTAATTAGAGAGAGAAAAAAAAAAGAAAAAAAAAACAAAAAAAGAAAAGTTAACACAAAGAAAAAAAAAATTATATTAATTTTTTTGTCCATGCAATATATGAAAACATAATTATTATTTAAAAATCTATAATAATATCAATGATATTGAATATCACAATTTTTCGATAATTCTCATACTGATCATTTTTATAATCACTAATTCATATATTTGTAAAAATAAAATAAATTAAATAATATTAATATACCTGTAAACCTATGGGTAAACCATTTCTATTCAAACCCATAGGACATTGTGTGACAGGAAGACTCAACGAATTAAAAATATTCATATAAGCTATATTTAAAAACTTGTAATATATTTCCGAATGATAATGTGCACATGCATTGAAAGTTGGACAAATCAAAACAGCATTTTTATGTAAAAGTTGCTAAAATAAGAGAAATATAAAATTATAATTATAAACACACACAAACACACACACACATACACACACAGAGAGAGAAAGAAAGAGAGAGAGAGAGAGAGAGTGGGAGGGAGAGGGAGAGAGAGAGAGAGAGAGTGGGAGGGAGAGGTAGTGGGAGGGAGAGGGAGGGAGAGAGAGAGAGTGGGAGGGAGAGGTAGTGGGAGGGAGAGGGAGGGAGAGAGAGAGAGAGAGTGGGAGGGAGAGGTAGTGGGAGGGAGAGGGAGGGAGGGAGAGAGAGAGAGAGAGAGAGAGAGAGAGATTTACGATTTGTATATTTATTAATAACAAATACTTACTTCAAGTTCTTTCTTAAGTAAACTACGCTTTTTCAAAATATCTTTATAAAACGATGCCGGTAATATTTCTAAAAATCTCACAAGAATTCCATAGAATACAGATTCCCATGTGTGAGAATTAAGATTAAATAAGCGCTGCACCAAAACAAGGAATACGCTTTTCCATGGCTGCAGATATACATATTTCATAATATTTTTATATAATTTTTTTCCTACAATACAAAAAAGATAGAAATTATTTATACAATTAATTATGCTAACCTTCGTTCCATCGTTTAAATTAAAAATGGTTTCTGTATTATTTAATTCAAGAGGAGTAAGACCCCCTATTTCCATCGCATATTTCAAATTTTTTAATTCCACCTATAACAACAATAAAAACATTCTATATTATCTAATTAGCATAATTCAATGAGCGAATATTTATGTTTATTTACATATGTACAACATTTATATTTGCGAACAACTCATTTTCATTATAAATAATGACACAAACTATTAACATATAAATAAATACACCCACACACACACATATACACTATTGTTATTATAATAATTGACTATTTTGACTATAATAATTTTGAGTTGTTTCATACGAAAATGTTGTAATACTTCTATATAATAAAAAAAAAAAAATTATATAATATAAAAAATATATATGTAATAAAAATTATATATAACCAACTTTTTGAACTTGACATTGGTAAGTCGATTTTAAATGATTGGTCAAGTTATTAATGGCAAGTTTGATATCGATATCAATGGACGAGCCTAATATTTTACAATATTTGTCATCGAGATAAAAAATCTTGATTTCTCTAATGTCCACCTAATAAATAAAAAAAATTAAAAAATATATATATATTTTACAAAATTCATATATTCGGAATATATTAAATAGACGAATTTAATACGTCAATGAGATATATTCAAATTGTAATGTCACCTTTATAAATTTTTGTTTTCTTTTTTTTTTTCTTTTTTTAATTACTTATATCAGAAAGATAAAAATTGTTGTCATTTCTTAAAATTATCCTTCTATACACGTAAAAATGTTTCACGATGCCGATGTCATTAAAATGCATGATTATTCTAGTTATTTAGTACTTTTCTGTTACAAAATATCATAAATTATTATAACGGTACAAGGTTATATGTATAAAAAATATTTCGTAGTTGATATTGTTTCGTAGTTGTATTTGTGTTTAAAGAGATAAAAAGAAGAACAAAAATTATAAATTATATTTTATAATTATTAATTTTTAAATGAACCTCGTAAGAAATGATAAATATATAAATAAAATAATGTAGCAATGGATATTAATATATACATACCTGACGATCAAGACATTTCAGACATTCCTTAGATGTTGTAATACTTCTTAAAATTAAAGGAAGGTCAACAGCGTATCTCGTCATCACACCAATTGTGAAAGTATCATTCCATTTTTTATTCGTACTTAATGGTCTGTGGCCCTTGCAAGAAATCCAATCTATTAAATTCATATTATAAAAATTAATAATTCGAAAGAGTATAAATTAAACTTAAATAAGAGATATAATAAAGAAGGTATATATTATTGTGCTGAATAATTTGTTAATAAGTAAATTTTTTGTTCGTTAATAAATATATCTTTTATCTATATTATATACACGCGCGCGTACACTCACACATATTTATATGTAAATATATATATATATATATATATATATATATATATATTGTGTTATAAAAATAAAACAAAACAAAAAATATGAGCTATTTCTTACAGGATGTTGGTTTGTGACCAAAAATACCACAAAACATAGCAGGCAATCTTATCGATCCCGCAACATCGGATGCTAAACCCATCAAAGAAGCACCGCTACTTATAAGCGCAGCCTAAAAAGAGTATAAAAAAGTATATATTTCTTATAATTTTTTTTATTTAATTTTATATATTTTAATTTATTCATGATATATAGATACGCGCGCGTACACACACACACACATATATATATATATACATATTATAATTTTATATAAAATTAAATATTTCAATTTAATTAGATATAATAAATAAAGAAGTATATCAGAAACAAATTATATTAATATATTTTATATAAAACAAAAAAAATATTTAACTTATACAAAAAAAAATATATATATGGAGAAAGAGAGAGAGAGAGAGAGAGAGAGAGAGAGAGAGAGAGAGAGAGAGAGAGAGAGAGAGAGAGAGAGAGATACTATATTATACATTATATATTTTATATAGATTATATATCAGAGTATATTTTGTGTCTATTATATAATTAAAGAAATATATATTTACATATGTAGAATATATATTTGAATTTTGTTATATAATACAAACCTCGCCACCCGTTGAACCACCAGTTGTTCTTCTTGTATCATAAGGATTTGACGTTCTACCAATGATATTGTTAAAAGTTTCCCAAGACATACATAATTCAGGTGTATTACTCGTTAACAAAATAATACCACCGGCTTCACGAACTTTTTTTACAACGTGTGCATCTTTTTTAGCCTTTATATATTTTTCGCTTGTCACTCCTACTGCGATACTAAAATCTATATAGAAATGATATTTCATTTATCAGATAATTGTATAAAAAATTAAATTATAAAATTAATGTGCATTTTTTTTGTTTTTCTTTCTTTTTTTGATAACAGAAAAACATAATGTAGCAACATAAAACGACAGATAATTGCGATAAATACAACTATATTTCATAAAAAAACGATGTTAAAACCTTGAACTCGTTAGGCGTTTGAGCAATATATGAATACAAGTATTATACTTCAACTTCTGATTATATGTTTACTTTAAAGAATGCTATTTCTCTTTCTCTTTCTCTGTCTCTCTCTTCTTCTCTCTTTCTTTTAGAGACGATCACATTGACAAAATTTTCAATTGAAAATCATTAAAAAAATATCAATTTGACATAAATATCCATAAAAAATTGTCATATATATGTAAACATTCCTTTAAGCTTCTATTTATTCAATCAATAATTTAAAACATTTGTTTATTATTTTAAAGAAATTTTTATCGTTATTTATAAGAAAATATTATTACACATAATATAAATGATACAACACTTACGTAATTATTTATATTGATTAGAATATTCAACTAAACTTACAATAGACTTTTACAAAATATTTATCATTAATTAATATACATACGTACATACGTGTATATATATATATATATATATATATATATATATATATATATTATTATATGTATTATATATATATATATATATATATATAAGTATATATGTACGTATGTAAATAATTTTTGATCAAAAGAAAAATATTTTTACCTTTCATGGCGATGCTAGCTTTAATTGTTATGGGAACCCCAAATAATGGCATTTCTTCCGCGATACGCTCTATAGATTGCGTAGTTGTATTTAAAAAATAATCGACAGCACGAGCTTCTTCTAACGCATTTTTATAATTGTCCTCGACAATAGCATTCAATATAGGATTAACTTCTTTACAACGAGTAATAAACGTTGATACAACTTCCTCACTGGTGATCTATAATAGAATTACACGATCAATCATTGTATTTCTTTTGAAAAGATTTCCTATCAGAAAATTATTTAATAGTTATAATACTATAATATAGTATCAATATTCATATTATGTGATATATATATATATATATATATATATATATATATATATATTAAAGTATGAATATTTATAATATGTAATATATATACATATATAGTATATATAGTATATTATATATAACATAGTATAACTGGTGAATCTGTCAAAATGCCTAAATTCATTGAAATCATCATTAAAATAAATTATCCAGGATATTTATTTCCTCGAATTATTTTCATGTAAATGATGAAATGAAAAATGCATTTCGAAAATTCGATTATGGTTGTCAAATATTAAAATAAAAATTATATATACCGATCATCGAATTAAACTATTAACATAATATAAATACTTTTATCATTATTTTACGGAATTCTGGTACGGATAACTATTTCCACTGCTTGTATACAAGTTAGATACTATATAGTTATGTGTATGTGTTTGTGTATGTATACACACATATATATAGTACATTATTTCTCATAGTTCATTATCATATGTTGATAATATCGAGTAAATTAATAGATAATATCCATTAAAAAAAATGTTCGTATAAAATTATATCTGATAATGTTTCATTGAAAAATTATGAATTTAACAATTTGAATCAATAGTTATAAATACTTATTCATTCTAATCTCAAAAAAAATAAATCACACGCTAATGACTGATTATGAAATCTAAGAAAAATTAAATGAAAGAAAAAATATTAAATTAAAACGTATAGTCAATAATTATCAATGAGAATTATATGTATCTATTTGCGATTGTGTATAACAATATTTTTACTTGTAAATTTATATATATATATATATTTGAATATTGGAGTGCAATATAATGACCAATATGTCGTCATTTTTTTTCTTCTTTCTTTGTTTGCTTTTTTTTTTGTAGAAAGATTTTCTTTTTTTAATATTTCAAATATTAGTTTTAGTTGATTACATATGTAAATATTAAAAAAACTTGCCTCTTTCATACGAATTTTTCTTGCAATATCAGTAGCCGTCCAAAAGAATATTCTGTTTAACAAAGGTGGACAACATTGATGTTTTTTAAGTCTCATCTTAATAATCGGATACATTATACAACCCAATATTAACATCATCGTTCTTAATGTACATTTTTCTATTAAATAGAAGATTTTCTGAAATAAATGAATAATGTAATTTGCTTTATCCAAATGTTCGAAGAAATATTTTTTCCAAAATAGTTAATTCGTAAAAAATCGGTGGATTCTTTTTTTTTCGTTCATATTAAGAATACAATTTCTATGTTTAAAAAAAGAAAAGAAAAAGAAAAGAAACAAAAAGCAAATCTTACGAATTACCCTCGCATATAAACATATATGTATTTCCGTATATAATATATATATAATAATATGTACTTATATATATATAATATGTAAATATATATATATATATATATATATATATATATATATATATATATATATAATGTATTTATATTTTGAAATTCTTGTTATTTCCAGAATTTGTATACTTACCCAATAATCGAAAGTAAAAGCAAATAAGAAGAAGGAATATATTATTTCTAAGATATTCATTTTTCTTTTTTCTAAATTTTTTTTATCCATGAATCTATCATTAGAGAAGAAAAAATTACACTTTCTCGATTCACGTCGTAACTATTGTTATATTAAAAATGTAGTGATATAATTTTGCGACATTGAAAAATGAAAAG